TTAGAAAGTCCACCTGAAAACCTAATCTGTGCTGTCAGTTTATCAAGATGACGATCCTGCCTTCAAATATAATTTCGCTCTCCGAACCGCTCAGACCTCCGTTCACTGACGGCCTGAGCAGTTGTACGGTGGTGCTTTGTCCCTGGAAAACCCCTTGAACAGCAGCCTCTGGCCTGGTTGCCTCTTCGTGATTTTCTACAAATGTTCACAGGGGCTGGAAAGCAATTTTCACTTACGTAATCCAAACTGCAGGCATCAGAATAATCAAAGCGATTATATTTTGCCGGCAGGTTTCGACATTCTAAGTTAATTTAGGCCTTAATAGGAGGAGGATCATAGCGATCTGCATCAGCAGTGCTGTGTACGTCTCCCTGGCAGCTCCTTGATCAGCTTTTCTGATTGGTTGATGCATCCAGCAGCAAAAGTTCAATTTTTCCAATTCCAGCAGCTGCCGCTTTCGCAGCACGTCACGTGCGTCAGATGCTGTAGCTCATGACACACTGCCTCAACTGCTCAGACGTGCTGCTCCTGCTGCTCAAAACGCGCTGCAGGACCTTTTGCTGCACCTTGACACGTGTCAACCATTGCATGTAAACTAGCTGCTGCCGCTGCCTCTAGCGTGTGCAGTCTGAACGTAGCATTACACCTCCTACACTTTAACTCATACATCATTACGGGACGCAAACACAAATAGCCGATGCCAAACAAATCCCAGATTACAGATTTGCAGAAAAATAACAAAAAAAAAATGCTAGTTACATACATGTAGCAAAACGCATGAACTCTTCATTACACAAAATGAAAGTGCTCACATTTGGAAATGTCAAACAGTAGATTTGAAGAAATAACCAGAGTAAGTAGCTCTAGTTCAACCCTCTATACTCCCTCGACATTTTCATAGTTTCCATTAAGGTGGAAATGTCAAGCAAAGTATTTGCAAGTTGTCTAAAGCCTACCCTTAAAAGTAGACAGGGTGTCTGCCTCAGGGACTAAAACTGGTAGTTGGTTCCACAGGAGAGAAGCCTGATAACTAAAAGATCTGCCTCCCATTCTACTTTTAGAAATTCTAGGAACCACTAGTAAACCTGCAGATTGAGAGTGAATGCTCTCCTAGGAGCATAAGGAAAAATCTGATCTCAAACCTATCTCTAAGCAAATGAAGAGAAGCTAGGATAGGATATTAAAGTGTTGTTATAATTTTTTGACATATTGTGGTTTCAGTCTTTTACATTACCAATACCTGACGTTTTACAAGCATATGTACAGTGCTGTAGGCTATATAATACAGAAAGCAACAATAACCATTTTGACTCTTTAGACCAAAATTGGGTTCAAATCTGGGTTTATGTTAATGGTTGGGAACAATCTAGTTCAGACCTCACATTAGCAACGTAGCTTTACAACACGGGTCATGTTGATGAGATGACCTCTTTAGTTTCTCAACATATGTTTTAAAAGCAACCAAAGAGGTTCAGATTGTATTCCACACAGAGATGCGATGAAGAGTTACAATGCCCTTTCTGGGATGCGTTATCTAAGAAGTGAAGGTCCACCCTTGACAGAATACAATCGATCTCACTCTTTGTCTCATTCTCAGGTACATTCTGCCAATCAGCACAAGAGCACAATGCCATTAATGTTTGACATCTTGAGAGACATTCATACGGTTCTTCCTGCTGAGACACACCAAGAAGACGTAGTACTTGGGTGTGTTATAATGATTAGGCTGATTATCTCAGACAAATACACTCCGGGGGCAGGAGGTACAGGGTTAGGAATCCGTCAGATGTAAAACACAAATGCTTTGATGTTGCACCTCCACCATGCAAACTTATGCAACTTCCCTCCTCGGATCAATGGAGATCAAATCAGCACTATGACTGAACCAAGCTGTACTCATGCAAGTGTGTGTAAAAGGATTCTACATTAAAGCCAAGAGAACAAAACACTTTGGTAGCTGTGTTGCTTGTCATCCAAATGAAAAGCACATGATTCTTCCATCGGATATCAGTTCAGGTTGAGTTCACTAAATATTTTATATTCACTGGTTCCGACACATGCTGTGTGCACCCGGTGAAGACTATGATGAAGTTGAAAGCTATTATTGTAACTCCAGCAGCCAGCTTAAAATGAGGTTGAACTAAAGGACCCGCATATCTCTCATTTGTACATCAAATAACTATATCAAGATTATAACAAAAATTTGTTTATTAAAGAGTTTATAAAAACTTAAGCATCACTCCCTGAAAGATGCTCATAAACTTTATGTTAAGCATTAAACTATCAGCCAAAGATGGTCAGTTGATCATTAGGTTTGCAAAATGGAAAAAAAAATCACGAGATGGTAACTTTTAGGCCAAAGCCCATTTTAACCTGAAACATTTTTAACAATTTATCCCAAAACATATGAACTAAACATGGATGCATCATGAAATACATAGATATTTGATTGCACTTTAGTCATTTGATGCAGTTACAATGTGAAATAAAAATAAAAGGATCATATTACGTGCTCAGTACTGATGATATACAATAAAAATAGAAGTTAGGGTATTTCTGGGGTTTAGATTCGGTAGATTATAACCATTGGCCAGCTAACTATTTTCTTGAAAAGAAAAATTAACTAAATCTCTAAAAGCTAAAAAGCCAGACAACAGCTGGCTTAATTCAGCTTCCTCTGCTCTTGTGGAACAACACTGAAAAAAAGAGGGAGACAAAAAGGGCAGAAAGGTAAGAACTGAAGAGTGGCATTAGTGTCCTCTGAGGACCCTGCAGCACAGTTATTTGGAGACTTGCCAAATGTTCACATTCCTTCCTTTCTTTTTGGACTTGGAGATCAGCGATGGCACACTAAATGGTGTCAGGATTACAGCTCCTCTGAAGGGAAGGGATGGGACAAACAGATAAAACTATTGCAGGTAAAAAAGAAGGTAAAAGAACAGAAACTGGAGTCGGAACACAAAAACCCAAAGCCAAGAGATCACCCCTCCCCTTGTTTCAGGGAGGTACTTGGTTGGCAAACCCAGAGGTAAATCAGCTCTGAGAAGAAGTCGAAGCAAATACAGCATGAGGACTGAAAGGCTGGTCACTGTAGGAACTTTTGGATGCTTTATTCTGTAGGCTGTTTTTGCAGACCTGAACACCTGGACACAGGGGAAAGAAACATGAACTGCTGAGTCTTTTTAATTCTTACAGTTAGAAGCCTGTCAGCAATAAAACAGGATTAGGTATGTTTTACAGACTACAGCCTTTCATACCTTAAGCCAACCACAGAGGCAGAAGTGTCAATTCCAGACTGGACTTTTGGCTCTGACTCCCATCATGAGGGGATCTTCTGTAGAGGTGGCTTACTGGTTGATGGTGTTGTGTTATCTTGGACGGAAGCATCTGGTGACCAGTGGCTGCTCTGGGAGGTGTTGCAGGGGCAGAAACATGGGATGTTCGTCTACTGACTGGAGGATGGACCGAACGTACGGGACGTGCTACTGCGACGAAGACTGCATCAACGCCAAGGACTGTTGCTTTGACTATTTTACAGAGTGTCCCGGTGAGTGATGAAGACCTGTCTTTAGGTGAAAGAATCACAGAGGACTCTTTTGTAGTATTCAAAGCTTAAATTTATGAGACTAAAATGAGATAACCAGGGAACTGATTATCTTCTGAAACTGTTGAACCGTAAAAAGAAGAGGGAAAATGGTTATCCTGATCTAATCTTTACCGATCCAGCTCTTCTGGCAGCGATCACTCCTCCTGAACAGTATCTGTCATTTTTCTACTTTATCTTATGCGTACACCAAATACCTCAGCTGCCTTTGTGCCAAGCCTTATTTCTGTGGACTGGCCCACATAATGGCATTAGGACAAATATTTGAAGAATGTGATTCTGTCAATCAGTTGCAGCAATTATAGTTCCAGGCAAACAAGTTGAGCGTACCTAATATGAGTTAGAGGCCAGTAGCCACAGAATTCATGAAATCTTGATTATTAAGCACCATAAAGTGAACCGGTGTTCACTTTGCACAATCAACCTATTTGTAGCAGAGACAGAAAAAACATAAAAAACAAAACAATATATCATTCTAAAAATTGGAGTTAGTAATAGAGTGACCTAAATGTTACAACGTACATTTAGCTCCATTGCTCTAAAATCCTTTGTGGTTGAATGAGGTTGGACCTATTGCTGCCTGAATAACTTTCTTCTATTCTGTCGGGGCCACATTTTAGCTCAGGACTGTGCTGTGGGCGCCTGGAGCTTTTGGAGTGGCTGTGCCAAGCCCTGTCAGCCATCAGTCAGAGTCCGTGTCCGTCACGTAGAGCAGCAACCCGGTAACAGTGGTGATCCCTGTCCCTGGCTGGAGCAGAGAGCTGGGTGCAGGGAGTACAGAGACCAGAGGGGCACCCACTGTGGACTCCACTCAGGTATGTAACACATTTAAAATGCTTCCTGCTTTAATGTCTACAGCTGTCTGATTTTTTTTGTCAACAAGTATGTATAGCAACATTAAGAATTTTCATATCTTCCTCAGTGCCCATGTTAATTTTGGACTTTGTGATGTTTTTTTTTATAATTTCTTTGTTGGCATGATTAACAATATATCTTTAATTCTTTACAAGAAAAACAACAACAAAAAACTGGGCTTGAATTTATTGTGGATTTTTTTCCACTAATTTTAGTTAAAATGCAAGCTGTAAAGTTTTATTTATACCAATAAACAAGATGCCACACTGATAGACAGATGTTCTCTTACTAGAATTTGTAGTAAATTTAAGTTGACAAATAATAAGCAAAAAACAGACTTTTAGGTAAAACCCAACTATTTCAAATAGGGCTGCTCTCTATCTTCAACGTACGTTGTATGAGAGGTGGGTGCATCCGAGACAGGTCACCAATCATTTAAATGGCAAAAAAGGGAAAATGGCCGAAAGCACACATCCATATTTGTTTGGATCTAAAACTATGATGATAATTTTCATGTTGTAGCCCCAGATTTTGTCCTATCATCAAACATCTAAGCTTTTCTATCATACCTTCTTATGAGACACTGTTGGTTCAGAGATCAGGAGCAGCCCAAGCCTTAGGCAGGGCACCCTGCCTTTAGCTCAAAGTAAAAGCATGGTGCCTCTGCATTTTCATATCTATTGATGCAGTTTAATGTAACCATAGTATTTTAGAGTGTTATCTTTTTGATCTTGTGTTCTTTGTGTGATGGAGAGCTGTTAATAAACATTTAAATAGTATAATAATATAATTGTTTCCTTGTGGTTTGCGTAAAATGATTATGGAGCTAATAGTCACGTGTGACATAAACACAATGACTCGGATTGATGCCAGCTGACCAAATCTACATTCAATCTGAAAAACTCACACAAAGAGAGAAGACAATTACAAATGTATTTAAACAATTACTTTTTCTTTGGCGCCCAGACCTCGGCAGGAAACATAGCACTTAATTTGCATGAACAGGAGCAAAGAATAGAGCTATTCCCCCCCCAGGCCTGAAACTTGTAGTGGAGTGGAGATAGATGAAGTTGGTTAGTCTGTAGACTACTGGTTAATGAGACGGTCTGCTGAGCTTTATGGGGAGATCCAGTGGACTGCGTGAGCTGATACTAGAGCTTCAGTCAGGGACCTGGAAGATGGAAGTCCAGTTGGATAACACAGGTTGAGAGAACCTGTCCATGATGAGCAAGCATGGAGCGACAGTGGAGAGAAAAAAACTCCCCATTGGGAAGAAGCCTCTGGCAGAACCAGGCTCTTTCTGCTCATCAAACAATGTTTTAGCTGTAAAGGGTAAATTAAAAGGCTAATTATAGACATTTTTCAGTTAAAACTTAAATAATGTTTGTTTAAGAATGTGTTTATGCTCTTTTGGCACATTTTATTTCCTTAATTTTAAAACCTAAATGGCAGAGTATTTTTTTTTTAAAGAAGGAGAAATCTTATGTATCTATTTATATAAGTCATCTGTTTTCTCTTTTAACAAAGTTCACATAAACAAGTTTTCATTAGCTGGACTGAATGTAGAAATAGACTCTTTGTCAATCTTTGATTTTACGTCAATCAGCAGTTTGGTGGTTTTAACTTCGACACAACTGGAAGCTCTAACTTGTTAGATGTTTGTGTTTTATGCTATAAAAGAAAATCAATAATAAAATGAAACTTGCACAAACAGCTCTTGCTTTTCTAAAACATTTAACTCGATTGTTGGATTATCCATTCAACTCTGAAAAAGGAACATTTAATTAAACTGTTAAAATCTACCTAATAAGGCAACATGAAAGGCTAATTTGTGTAAACTAACGTTATCTCTATGTCCTGTATTTTACAGTCCATTAATGAGTTAACTGTGAAACCAAATCTGAAGTAGTTTCTCTTGTAAGGCCCAGCATTCATCACCAGCATGAAGTTTGGCAACAGAAGGCCCAAACATGACAGCTATGGAAACCCCCTAGAGGCCGGGTGAGTTTCATCGAACTTCAAAGTACTCATGACTCACGGTGACTTTTAAATCAAGCTATGTGAAGTTAAATACTCTCATGGATGCAGTATATAATCCTGTAATATAAACATGTAAATCAACTTTGTTTCATTGAAATGAGTTATCATTGTTTGCCCAACTGGCTGTAGATTATAACATTTATACAGCAGTGCAGAGAGACGGTTCTTTAGAAACTAAATCTTCACCAGTGTGAAAGGTCTATCAGTGAGGGTAGGGTTGTGTAAAGGAGAGGGATGTTATCACAACTACACATTGACCACGTGTTAGAGAAATTTGTTTCCTATTTTATTCTAATGTGAATGTTTTTTATGCATCTTCCACAACCTTTTCCCTGATTTCAATCAGGTTCTGTGTGGAGTTTAAACTGGAGTCCCGGACGCCACACTGCACAGTGGAGAACCGGCCTCACACACACTGGATGCGCTACATAACTGAAGGCTTTAAAGTGTGTGTGGCGTGTGAACCACCTGCCTTGCGAAACAGTAGCTGCCAGGGAGATGGCCAAGAAGCAGACAAGTAGGAAACTATTTCATGTGTTTTTATACATTAGGTTTTACAGACATATTGTAAACATACAGTTCTGGTGAAATGGACAGCAATGTCACACCAGTTTTGGGCTCACAATCATTTTGAAGGGTGAATTGATAAAAACATTTGCAAACTTTCAAGAGAACTGGGCTTTGACTTTATTTATCTAATCAATCTCAGGGGCGGAGCTAGATGGGGGGGCAGGGGTTGCCATGGTCACCCTTAGCCAATCATTGGCCACCCCTACCATTTTTTTTCTCTGAAGTATTCAAAACATTTTAATTTTATATATATAAACAATTACTTGACAACAAAAACACTGTGGTCAATTATGCACATCAATATACCAACATTAGAGATGATTAGTACACAATTCAGGCTCTTTCAGAACTAGATTTTGTGTTATATGAGGTAAAGAGAAAATAATGTCCCTGCAAGTCATCTAACAGTCTTCAGTGAAATCATAGATACTGTAAATAACTATTTTAATAAAAACCTATTCAATTATCAATTTATGTAGATATTAGTACTTGTAAATATCAATTTAATGTAGAATGATATTGATAAAAGTAAGGTAAGTAATGACGATGGAAAAGATGTTCGCTCCAGAACTCAAACCTCAAAGAATTTGATTCACTATACCTTTTATCTAGACGGATGTTTAAATATATGCATCTATTTGTTAGCAAAGGCTGTAGAAAAAGTATAGGATGTCTTTATTTAGAAATGTGGACGTTGTGTTTGTTCCCAGTTGAACTATGTAGATTGACCCTGAGGTTCTGGTGCCTATCCACTTTTGGCCACCCCTCAGTATACATTGGTTAGTGCCTGGCCACCCTTATAAAAATGTTATGGCTGCGCCTCTGATCAATCCAAGGATCCAATGCATAAATACAAACTAGTATTATCAATACTAAAGCAATCTCTCATAATGGTTTCAAATATCCATAAGCATTTATCCCCTGCATAATTAAAAAAAATAAATAAATCTGGGTATTTATTTGCAGGGCTGGTAAAAATGATTTAAATAGTTTGAACTGAGCCAATTTACATCTTTTCAATAGAGCCAAGGTCACAACCAAACTGAAATACTCTGTAGAAGCCTGTTTTATTTCTCCCACAATAAAAAGATCATTTGTGCAGTTAAAACACTTTGACGTGTGCAGCTGTTGATTAACTTTTGCTCCACAGCATGATGCAACCACCACCTTGCTTCACGCTATTAGTTTTAAAATAGTTCAGTCTTTGTGGGCTGATCATAAGCCTCTCTCACTAGAAGGTGTTTTAACTCATCCATGTGTGCAAATTCCAGCTACCAAGATGTCTGTTTTGTAGTAGCTGCTTCTTTCTTTTTTATTTCTCTCAAATGTGGAGTAACACTGGCATTTCCTCAGCTTCCAGTTTACAGGTTTAATGTTAATTGGTGGATTTCTGAACTGCCAAACAAAGATCATATCATCTGACACAGATTGTTGAAATATGTTGATATTGTTAGAGGGTGGGCTTAATAAAAAAAAAAAGCAAAAAACAACACTAAGCTTTTGAAGGAAATTGTTTTGTTTTTTTCTACATCAAAATAAACATTAAACTGTATTCAGTATAATTAATTCATCCTGTGAATCATGAGTCGTAAATAAATTAACTAAAAGCAGATAACCATCCATTTCAGGGATTTGTGCAAATAAGTGTACAACCATTTTTGACAGAAACTCTTAATAGACAAAAGCAAATGACAGAAATGTTCTAATTATCATGTAACTGTGTTGCAGAGAGACTTTGCTTGACTGGCAGGCAGTGGGGAACCCGCACTGCAGAGGGACATGGAGGAAGATCCAGAAAACTCCACAGTGCACTTGTCCAACACAACACAACTTCATCTTCACCTGACCTTCACAAACCACAGCCCGGATCAGCCGCTGAATTTAAATACTCAGAACATCAAAGGATGTTCTCCAACAGACTGAGATCTGCATAATGAAAAGCATAGAAATCACCTCAAAGAATAAAGCATTTCCTCTAGATGTTAGAATCAAAACAACTGTACAGCTAGATTTTAGTTTTCCTTTTTTATTTAATAACTCCAAAAAAAAAAAACAAAAAAAAAAAATCTAAAATTTCCAGCATAGTTATAAAAGCCAGGTTTGTAATATTTTGTCTTTGGCGCCCCCTTGTGGAACATAGTAAAAGAGTTAGAGGCAGCAATGAGCAGCAGGTTTAATTTGCAGTTTTACAGTTTAAAAGGCCAATGTGCAACAAAATATAACAAAAACCATCTTTCACATTTATCACATTTTTATACATATATTTAAAAAAATACAACAACAGCTTAACTTTGAGGGAAACTCTTCAGAAAATAAAACAAAAAATCTTTGATCTGTGGGGGATTGTTATATACAAACTGCTACATCATACAGGCAGAAATGAGAGGAAGGAGACATGTTTCTTTTCAGTCGACTTTGTTTGCCCTCAGCAGAACTCTCCAGCGGTCCTTCAGCATGGTCCCAGTGCGTCCTTCAAAGTCATAATCCAATAAGATTTGAGCCCATTTCCCCCGTCCGTGACGTCTGACTCCCTCTTTAAGGTATCTGTCCAGCTGAGCATTCCATTTCTAAAAAAATAAAATAAAAATAGGAAAAAAAGGACAGGACACAAACTTAGAATCTGTATATGTATTTTCCTTCTTCTAAATGATTAATTCAAATAAGCAATTTTATTTTAGAAACCATGAATTAGAAACAGGGTGAGTTTTCTTATTTAACATACCTTAGGTGTTTTCCTTTTCTTCTGTTTTTCATTCTTTTCTAACTTGGGGGTGTCCAAACACCTTGTCATCAGTTGACATAACTCTGATGGTGAACAGTTTAAAGATCTTTAGCTTTGGTCACAAAATATGCTGGGAATGTATATTTCAAATTTTTGATAAACAAGCTATAAGACAACAGACGAGAAGGAGATACCATTTCTGGAGAGTCGTCTGAGGGAAACGCAGGGCGTCGCCATGGTATCAGGCATCCACATGTCAGTAGTCTTAGTAGAGAACAGTTTGCGTTTTGGTCTGCGGAAGTGAGAGAGAATTTATTTTTACTACACGCTTCAAAATAAGTTGTAGTTGACAACATATCAAGCTTATAAAACTAAGAATTCACTTTTCTTGAGTAAGATCTGAACAAAAACTACAAAAGTAAGAACTCCTTTGTAACTTTTTTTTACCAAAATAACCAAAGCAAGGTTAAACATTTTAATACTACATGCAGATTTTCAGTTACTTTTATTAAAGCAACAAGTTGGTTCAGACTGGGACTGAAAATATACGACACCATATTTTACCAAAACACAAGAAAACATAAATACATTCCTTTATAAGACGACACTAAGACCAAATGTTACTGGTGTTACAACAAACAACTTTGTTTTGTTGCAGATTTCTTTTCTTCAGATTTTTCCACTGCTATTTCTGACCAATTCTTCCAATAAGATCCAAGCCTTTGAGGGTGGAGGGCCTCCTTGCTATTTACCCTTAATTCTCTCCATGGTTTAAAGTCAAAATAACTTTGATGATTTCAACTGAATGTTAAAAAAAAACAAAAACAAAAAAACAACAACAACAACAACAAAAAAAAAAAAAACACATATGCTTACTTTTTATTCTTTTTTTCCATTTCATGGGGCTGTTCTGGGAGGGCACTGCTTTCCACAAAGACTGGCTTTGAATCCTTATTGTTTTGGGAGGATTGGACGAGCTTTGTAGCTGCCTGATGGAGAGATAAACATTCATTAGATGCGGGTATTTGTTTAGAATTATAGGCAGAATCATTCTATATATAAATGTTCTAATATTATTACTTTTTAATATTACTATCTACTTCAAAATTATAAAAAAAAACAACGTATTTTTGCTAAATAAATGATCCAAAGTTGAACTAAAAGAAATCTAACGGGCAACATAAATCTCTCAAATCTCTGAAAAATTTGAATAAAAATGCTGGTGAAGATTCTCAGTCATCCAGGTCATAGTCATTCCAAAGAAATTTAAAAACAAAACTGGACTTTGAAGATATTTAGCTTCCCAACCAGAAAGCTTTCTCAATTGAAAAAGTCAGGCCTTATAGAATAGCCAAATTAAAAGCCTTGTTATTGCTTTGAAAACATGCAAATTGAACTGAAACTGGCCCACGCCTCTGTAATTGGGAGTCGGTAAGGTTGTTGTTGGCCTGTCTTACAGGAGCAACGTCCGATCACCTGCAAGTTAAACAAAAAGAACCTCAAATAATAAAAACGGCTGGCAGTTAATTCTAGCTATAACAAGATCAAAGAATCGGAAAATGAAGCCCACATCATCAACCCTCCACCACTGTACTTAACAACAGGCATCAGGTATTTGTGGTGATAAGCAGCATTCATTAGAAGTGAAGCTGTGTATTATTATATACTGCTAAAGCTGTTATTTTAACAGTTTGAAGGACTTTATTTAACTAGTTTGAGGGATTTCTTCAACCAGTAAAATGCAAACTAATTTTGATTTGGCCTCTCTGACATTATGTTAACAAGAAGCTGAACTCTGAAGATAATTAGCAATACACACTTGCTGATAACCACAAAGAGAAGCAGAGACATTTGGTGGAAATTTCTGAGCTAATTTAAGTCCAACCTCTAAAACACAGATACTTTGAAACACTTTGAAATTAGCAGGAGGGCTGCACATATTTTTCAGTGTCCAAAATGTGCTCCACTAAGCCTAGAATATTCTTTTTAGGTTTTAACAACTGATGGGAGAAAAAGTCAAACTCTGAAATAAAATCATCTCACAGTATGAGATCGCCACACAGAGAGGAAACCCAATAATCATTACAATAATGAAAGTCTAAGCCTCTGTGGATCAAAATGACACAGTGGCTGTGGAAAACAGCAGTACAGTAATGTAATGATAATATTGCATACGAAATAAGAACAAATACAAAATAAATTATATGAAGAAATGTCCTTTCTTTTTGGGTTGGATTTCCCACCTCCTCTGTTAAAGGAATTATTAATTTATGAAGGTAAATCAGGTGCTTTGCCTTCTGAAATATTGCTTTCCTTCCCTCCAGTGAAGCAAATCTGATTAAAATGTAATGTGAAGCTTGATGAAGCTGTTTGTTTTCTTCACAATAAAAACCTCCAAATATACAAGCTTAAATCAGTTTCATTTATTGACATGTTTTCTGCTTCAGGTCAATTTCCCACATAAACATCAGAATTGGTGAAAATTTGAGCAGCTGTTCACATTTGTACTTTATGCCAGATTTCCCTGTAGGATTTACTCCAACAGTCAGAGTTGGCAGGAAGGACAGTCTCATTTTATCACACATGACATAAAAATGTTAGCGTTATTTTTATGGATGATGATTCTCAGGTAAGAATCGGGGTAGACAAAGCTTAGGGGGGTAAACACAGAGATCTCATTTTACACAAAGCACTAAGTTTCATGAACATCCAACCTTGACGAGGAAGTCAGACGGATTCTTTTTTAGGTAGTTATCCAAGAAGGACTGTATTGTCTCACGCAGGTGGTCATAGCTGTGGCTCATGAGGAATGGGTGGTGCGTTTCCATCTTTTTGACAATAACTGAGAGCTTGACTCTCAAATTCTGTTTCAGTTGACGTTGTTGTCAGGAATCAGTAAAGACAAGGGAACAAAAAGTTATGTTAGGATACAAAGTGAAAAAGAAAAGGAACAAAATCTCTAAACAATATTTTAAAAAGAAGTTAAGAAAAATAAACAGACCTGAGGGAATTTGTTTCTTTTTTCAAACCACTTGATGACAGAGGAGGCTGAAGATATCCGGCCGTTTTCCAAGCAGGCAGCCACAGCCTAGAGCAAGGTGCATCTCAAATTAGGAATGATAATTAGACATATCTATTTCTTTAAATGTGTTTAGCTACAGAGGCAGTGATGTGAACTGAGAGCAAACCCTAAAAAGATGGAAAATTACCTGGACCAACAGGTGAACATTGATGCGTTTGAATAAATCTTCATCTCCCACAGTGTGCTGTAAATTTGCCCAAACTGTGGCAGCAGACATGAGGGGCATTACAGACTCATCTTCCTCAAACAAGACATCTAGGAAAAAAAAGAAATAAAAAAACATAAAATTAATTCCCAAACAGAGCAGCTCTCTGTATTCATCTTTCATGGTTAATGGAAAACCTTAAAAAAGGAAAACTTTTACAAAGTTCATCAAGCAAGAAAACCATAAAAAAGCCCGCTGAGACAAAAAAAAAAAAAAAATCCATATTTTAACCAGAAATAAAACTATTAGTATAGTTTTAAACTCACCCAGCTGCTTTCCATGCATGACTCTTGCTAAAAATGCACATATCATGGACTTCTCATCATTGACTGCAGCTTGAAGAGATTCACACTCAGAAAGAGCTAAAAGGGCAAAAATATAGATATTAACTAAAGAGTTAAGAACAGGATTTATTATACAGCATTTTATAAATCCTGTATTTATAATAAAAGGCACGCATTTTCTACACCGAACGTAAAAACTACTCAATATACGGCACAATGTATAGCAAAACAAGCACTAAAAGTTTTATTTTTTTAAAGCATGTTTTAGACTTCTTGCAGGCACAGCACAATTATATTTTTAACCGATTTCCAATTGATTTTTTTTTTGTTTGTGTGAGGAATTACTCACCCTTAAAAACTAACAGAGTTTCATTGAACTCATCAAAGTTTCCTGCTTTGAAGTTTCGACACAAAGTCACAAACAGGAAGTCAAGCATCATCCCCGAGGCGACGGTGGTGACTTCAGAAAAGCTGATATTTCCATCTGCTTCGGATAATTCTGGGACGATTTTCTCATTTTCGAACCCCATTGTATGTTTACTTCTTTACCTTAGAGCTTCCGCTCGTTTTAGCGCCTTCATCAAAATGACCAAACACGAAGGACCACAGCGACCTCTGGCGTTTGGGTGATATGACTGCAATATATTTTTTTTGTCTTTTGTAAACGACACATGAACAGATTTTTACATTAACGGTACTAAAGTGACCTCTGGCGTTTGGGGGATATAACTGCAATATTTTTCTATATTTCTTTTTGTAAACAATATATTAACAGATTTTAACATACCCTGGTTAGAAAAATAAACAATAAAGAATTTATTGGAATGATGAAATGATGAAAATGTATCAAATACCTACATCTGCAAATCTCTCCAGAAGCTTTTTTACAGTTCCACAAAGAAGGAATAGGTGGTCAGGCGTTTCTATATGTTCAAACAATATGCAAGTATTGCCATGTGTATTAATAATATCTATTCATGTACATTTTTACATGAATAGATATTATTAATTCTCAAGTGTGTTGCTTTTGCTTTAGAGGAACCTAAATACTTAGATCTCAGTTTAGTGATTAAATCTTAATTCCAACTATTAATAAAATATTTCCTTTGTTTATGATAAATATGTGAATGTGTTTTTTTAATCTAATATTATAATAAATTGAATGAATTGGGCTGGTAGTTTTGATTTTGGTGAATCACCATGTTTTTAATTAGAAATATCCCATGTGAAAATTGTTGGTACCCCTCATTTAGTGAAAGAAAAACACACAATGGCAAAAGTAATAACAAATAAAAATTATAGGAAAAATAAACAAATGAAAGTCAAATATTGCTTTTCAGCCATGCTTCACTTAGACTTATACAAAATATGTTGTCATTAAATAATTCAACAGAAGGATTTAAAATAATAAACTCAGGAAACAGACTTGGACAAAACATATGGTATACCCTTAACTTAATCTTTTTTTACACAACCTTTTGAGGCATCACTGCAATCAAATCATTCCTGCAACTCTTAGTGACACTACTGCTCCTCTCAGCAGGTTTTTAGATTCACCCTGATCAGCAAACTGCTCCAGTTGTCTAAGGTTTTAAGGCTACTTTTTCCAAACTGCATGTTTCAGCTCCTTCCAATGATGCTTAGTAGGATTTAGCTCAGGGCCCATAGAAGACCCACAACATAACAGAGCCTCCTCTATATTTCACAATAGGGTCAATGTTCTTTTCTGGATATGCTTTATCACCTCCACCAAGGAGGCTATGTTTTTATAGTGTATTCAGACTGGGCACGGTGGCTGTGGCAAACATGGATTCACATAGAATTACTATGTGAACTGCATGTGTGAGGGCCTTCACTGCTCCGATCTCACCTCGTGCTGCTAGATAGAGCCTAGGTGATGTAAAACAGCAGCGCTGCATGGAGAGAGCTGAGTGGTGATCGCTGAAATTAAGACCAGCTGAACTTTTCTATGAAATCACAACACTTATATGGAGTTGCCAGGGGTAACGGCAGGTCTACTGGTACAAAATATTAAACAATAATTCCAGCCACTAAATAAAGTCAACGTGCCCACTGTTATATTCAGTACCAGCACAGGAATGACATGTGATGTTATGCAATAACTTTATATTAGCAAACAAGCACAGCACTAACGCCTGTAAGGTAATTAAAAAAAACTTCTATCTTAAAAACCAGATTAGCACAAACAAAAGTTTTACCTGCACAAATGAAGTGGCACTGAAAAAGTAGGCTAGATCATTTTGATTCAGTTCAGAGCTTAATGGGGGGATAGTTGACCTCTGGATGACCTAAAAAATAATCATTAATATCTCAGAAACAACAGCAGCACATATGATCTTTTTATTTATTTATTTACTTTTTATTTTTAAAAATGAGCATTTTAAATGCACAAACCTGCACTAAAGAAGCTGCAACCATTCAGTGTATTTGCTGAGTTTTTTTCACGTCAGTGGGTAGTCCGCTTCACGCAGCTGAAGCTTCTCCTATTTGATGATGTGGTCCAGGGAGTAAACACTGTCTGAAACGCAGAGAGCTGAACTACCTGCAGGGCTCGCGTAAATCACTGTGTCCACTGTTTCCAGTCTGAATGCTCCATTAGGAGAGTTTGTCTGTGTGAGTGTGTGTCTGTCTGTGTACAGGATATCTTGAAAAGTTAGGAAAGGATTTAAATTAATTTTTTAGCAGAGTTGCCCCTCATTCTAAGGCAGAGGCGTAGCCAGAAAACTTTTATAAGGGTGGCCAGGCAATAACCAATGTACACTGAGGGGTGGCTGAAAGTAGATAGGCTCCAGAACCTCAGGGTCAGTCTACACTGTTCCAACAGGAAAATTAATGAGCAAAACATTCATATTTTCTAAAGACAAACGATCCTTTCCTACAGCCTTTGCTAACAAATAGACGAGTATACTTACACATCCGTGCTTCCTAGATAAAAGGTATAGTGGATTAAGTTCTTTTAGCTTTGAGTTTTGGGGCTAACATCATTTCCATTGTCATTACTTACTTTTATCAATAATCATTCTGCCAAAAAATTATATTTACAAGTACTTATATCTACATAAATTGATTATTTAATACAATTTTATTAAAATAGTTATCTCTGATTTCACTGAATAACTCAAAATGTAGTTCTGACTGTTGCCACCATCTGTATTAGAGGGAAAAATGGTAGGAGTACCACAGAGGTGGCCAATGATTGGCTAAAGGTGGCCATGGCCAGCCCTGGCCCCCCAACTAGCTCCGCCCCTGTTCCAAGGAACAATCAAAAATGGTTTATTTAACATTGTGAGATAGGTGCTGAGTTTGAATTCAGTGGCTGCGTCCTGCAAAGGCCAGATTCATCATACGATTATGTCACAGCACGGCGCCAAGGCCTGTTCGGATTTGAAGACTCCTCGATATGAAGCCGACAAGTGTGTCCTTCTTTTTGCCCCTTTTGGCAGACGGATCCACTGTATCCTATGTAACCTTGGGTATCCCATGATTCATTGTGAGTCAAAGCAAGCCGGCTGCTCTGTGCTCAGAGGAAAAGGTAAATGACGCAGAACAGAGGTGAATATTGTAAGTGCAGTTCAATATAATGCAAGTATGTAAATAGTTCTATTTGAAATTTAAGCTATAGGTGTAGGTTACAAGATGGGGCAAAACGTGCAAAATAACTTACAGGTAAGTTATCTGATCGTTGACATACGTTAAGTGTAAGTTTCTCATAAGTCATGGCGTCTAGCTTATCCAGAAACTATGAGTAAGTCGTGTTTTTCTAGTTTTTCCCTCTGTAAACATAGAGCTGATCTGCCTTGATAAAAATTTAAAATTTTGTCTCATCTGTCCATAGGACATAGGCCCACAAGCTTTGTGGTTTGTCATAATTTAGTTTGGCAAATTCCAGTCCGACTTTTTAACAATGGTGTCCTCCTCTGTCATCTCGCATTAAGTCCATTGTGGCTCAACCAGCGATGGAAGGTGTGATGTAAAACTGACTTTCCTTAATCTTGAGACTCATGTTTAATCTCTTTAAAAGTATTTCTGGACATGTTTGTTACCATTCACCCTGTTTAAATGTCATCAGTCTACAGCCAAACACAGGGAGATTTGCTACAGTCCCATTTGATCTTAAATTTCTGAATATGTGCAGCTGTAGTCACAGGAACATCAAGCTACTTGGAGATGGTCTTACAGCCTTTATCGTTAACATGCTTGTCTATTAGTTTCTATTTAATCTCCTGAGAAAACTCTTTCCCTCGCCTCTGGTCCATATTGAGTGTGGAACACACAATGTCACCAAACAGCACAGTCATGGCCTGCAGCCCTGTATATAGGCCTAATGACTGATTGCAAGATTGTTGACATCTGTGATGCTATTAGTTGTTACACTTTGATTTAACATGTACCTCCGACTGCATTATTTTCAATTTTAATCATCCGTTGAAGCATGCGTGAAATGCAATCTGTGGCATTCATTTTTATATTTTCATAGATTTGATCATTTTTATGTCAGATTCTTATTATTTGTGTGAGCTTTGTTACGGTTTTCTTACACTAAACAAGGGGTACCATCAATTTTGCTCATAAGCGTAAATTCTTGGAGTAGTGTATTAAATAAAAAAAATTTCTGAGGTCTTAAGAATAAACCCTTAAGATCTTAGGTCTTACAAAAATGACAGAGCTCTTCTTTTAAATTCAGTGAACTTTCGACAAACCTAGCTGATATTTTAGCTCAACAAAGCTGAATTCTCATCTGAAAACATCTTCAAAGTTGTTGTGGGTCACTGAAAGTGTAATATGTCAATTTCTAATCACAATTTTTGCCACTGTTTTCCAATATTGCTGTCTGTGCTTGACCAATCCGCTTTGACTTGCAATCAATCATAGAAAATGCAGAGCCACAAAGGAGTCAGGAATAGTCTTTTGTGTTATCTGTTATATTTATTCCTAGGACAATAATTGAAAGATTTTTTTCTTTTTCCTAAAACCTGACATCTTTTTAAACCTAAGTTTTTTTCCCCCAGTCCAATTTTTCTGAGATTTTGCAACTCTTTTTAAAAGACCAGACAACTTTTCCCTGTGACCCAAGAATCTCTTAAAATATACACCGTACCATCTTTTACTGCTAACCTTTCAGGGTCATGGTGCAGGTGCTGCCCATCTTCAGCAGTCCATGGGCGAAAGAAAGGTTACATCTCAGACAGGTCAGCAGTCCATCGCAGGGCATCACAATGACACAACCATGTTGACAGATCATTGTTTTGTTTTCTACTTGCAATTACCTCCACTAATCAGTTTGTGATGGGTTCCTTTGCACTCTTATCTGCCTTTTTTTCCCTTATCTGCATGATTTCTTGGTCTTCATATAGGGATATTCAGTCTTACCTAAAGTTTAATCTCAGCAATAAATACCAAATCTCTATTTGGTCAGCTTGTGCTGTTTTTTTTTTTTTTGGGTGGTTTAAATGGTTTACGCTTTTTAAATGGTTTACACTGTAATGTCACATCCAGTTTAGAGCGCAGACAAAAACTCTTATGTTTTAGGTCAGTCAATATCACCAAAACTAATTATATTCAC